CCGGGCCAGGTTGCCTCGGCACGGCACGGCACGGCACACCTCGGCACGGCACGGCACACCTCGCTGCGCTCCTGCCCTGATGCTGCTGGCCGCCGTTCCTGGAGAGGTGCTCCTGGCCGAGCATCACCCCCCTCCATCCCCCCAGCTCCCCACAGCCGGTTCGGCAGGGTTGAGTCAGGAGGCCAGGACAACAGGAAGGGGGACTGGGGATTACAGGGCGAGGAGGAGCCCCCAGGGCTTCGGGGATGCCTGGGGGCTGTGAGAACAAAGCCATGGGGTGCGGAGAGTGAAACGCCCAGCACGGAAGGCCGGAAACCAAACCAGCCAGAAAAACGACACCGAAACCAGCACCGAAGAGCTCACGCGGAGCAGGGCAGAGGAGAGGTGCACTGCGCATCCTCTGTGCAGCCCTGCGTCCCCGGTGAGGGATCCCGCGATGCCCCGGTCCCCGGGACCCCGCTGCACCACGCTGCCGGCGCACGTACCCTTCAGGATGGTCTCGAACGCCTGCTCGACGTTGGTGGAGTCCAGCGCCGAGGTCTCGACGAACAGCAGCCCATTGTTGTCTGCAATGAGAGGAGTCCCCCAAGACGATGCAGACCCCAGCGAGGGTACAGCTCCAGTTTGGAGGCCCTTTAGAGATGTTCGGATGCCCGCATCGGAGCGGGTCCCTGCTGTCGGGGAAGTTCCCAAGCCCCCAACCCCACGGCAGGGTGCCAGCCCGTACCTGCAAACATTTTTGCCTCCTCCATGGGTACCTCCCGAGACTGCGCGAGGTCGGTCTTGTTCCCCACCAGCATGACGACGATGCTGGCCTCAGCGTGGTCGTACAGCTCCTTCAGCCAGCGGTCCACCACATCGTACGTCTGGTGCTTGGTGATGTCAAAGACGACCAGGGCACCCACGGCCCCCCGGTAATATCTATGGGAGAACCCCACCATCACCCCACGTTCCAGGCACCCCCCGCAGCATCCTCACCCGTGGGTCTCAATTCTGAGGGCATCACCACCCAGGTACCAGGCGGAGCCCTGAATTCGGGTATCCCATCCTTACGCGGAGGTGATGGCGCGGTACCGCTCCAGCCCGGCCGTGTCCCAGATCTGAGCCTTCACCACAGCGTCTCCCACCAGGATGGTGCGGGTGGAGAACTCCACGCCGATGGTGGTGCGGCTGTCGTGGTTGAACTCGTTGCGGGTGAAGCGAGAGAGCAGGTTGGTTTTGCCCACCCCGGACTCCCCGATCAGAACGACTGCGGGAGGGAGGGAGAAAGCCCACTGGAGCGGTCGAGGAGGGGACAGGGCTGCTCCAAAACACTTCACGGTGATTCAAATAACCCCTTCTGACCTAAGCCAGACCACCCCAGCTGCCGGCACAGGGTGCACGGGCATCCCTCCTTGCCTGACGACCCCAGACCTGGGCACAGAGGCCAGGCAGGCGTGAGGGTACAACACCCGGTACGGTACGGTCACTCCCTCAGCAAACGGGGCTCCTGTACCTGTGTCACGAGCTCTCAGCCCCTCAAGCGCGGCT